GTCGACTTTGCCCCAGAAATTCTTATTCCTAACACTACGACTTCTGAAGTTAGCTGACTTTTTCAAATATGCACAACTGTCTTTTTTGCTCACTTTCCTTCTTCGTATAAATCTCCTCAAAGCACAGCACTTTGATATGACAAAATCACTCTCTAAAGTCTCATTTCTCATTTATCTCTCTCTCAGTTTGACACCCACCTAGCTAAAAAAAAAGAATCATGGCCGACGCCAAATTCTGCTACAAGCTCAGCCAAATCACAGCAATCCTAGTGGTTTTCCTCTTGATATCCCAATCTTCATGTGCTAGACCACTTAATGACGATGTTTTAGCCGGTGAATTTTCGCGCAATATTGTACTTCTGACTGGGGACAACATTAACCTACTACATAAGTCATCCATTTCAAGTTCAGGAAAAGATTTGAACGAAGAAGTTGAAGCTACAATCAAGCTGAGAAGAGAACGTGTGAACTTGCTATTACATAGGCTTCCTAAAGGGAAGAAACCGGTGTCCGGACCCAGTAAAAGAACCAATGGACTCAACGACTAGGGAGAAGCAGAAGATAGAAATGCATGTCATATAGTATATGATCTCCATCTCTTGTATACATTTATTGATTCTTTTCTCCATTTTATTTCATGTTGTTGATGTTTTGTCTTCTTTTTTTTCATTTTATTGTTTCCTCAAGTTTGACGGTAGATTTAAGCTGTAAATTTTACTAGTAAGATTATGGGGAGTAGGAAGTAGCTTGCTAGGAATAGTCGACGACTATATGTCGATTAATGTACCACATATGCTTTGAATTTCTTCAGTGTAAGCTATCTCATTTTTGAGCTTGTTTGACTTAAAAGATATCGAAACCTTTTTGAATAAATCATTCAAAGAAAATGAAGGGGTAAATCTTAGTCAAATATAATACATTCCAGATCAAAGAGCTTATAGTGTAGATAATATATAGGATGAAAGAAACAAAGTCGATCTTATTGAAATTCAACATTGTGTCTCTCATCAATCAATGGGGGAGATAACTTTACATGTTCTTCTGTAGATTANTATATAGTCAAAGCATCCTTGCCATTTACTTGGTCCAACACTCTCTCGCACCAAGTGTGCCTTGATCGTTCTTTTAGACACTGCCCCTTCTGACTCGACGGGTGTCGAGAAGGAGATGTAGGGTGGGCTATATTATCTTTTACTACTCAATCACTTGGGCGGGATGTTGGTCAGCTCGGCTGTGACGGTCAGATTTTGACCAATACAGTTAGTCCCTCCGTCTGTCGGGGTCGTCCCCTGTCGGGCCTGGCAGATGGATCATTGTTGCTATGAATTCGAGAGAAATCTGACTTCTTATTCCTCAGTTATGTCACTTGGGTTTTCGGTGAGATGGCAGCATTCTTTCGATACCCGTGGATTGTTGCGGCTGTTTCAGAACCGAAAACATCGTTTAGCATCAAAGCGTTATTTCGTGGCTACCGCCATTATGACATACGTTCCCGGGGAACTAAAACATTTTGTGCCCTATCAGGTTCGATTAGCGACTATTGGGTTTCGTGCTCGGGGGATTTATGTCTCTTATAAGTAGAAGGAATTTAACATTCGATTGACACACTTCTTTGCCTTTTACTCGAAAGAATTCTGCTGATATACTTCCTTCCTAATACTTCAAGTTTTCATTTTCCCTTAGTTAACTGAAAATTTTCATCCTTTCTTTCCGTTGTCTTTTTGCCGCCTCATCTAAAAAAATGGTTGGTGATTCCTCTCACACCGATCTCCCTGTCACAATTCCGGCACTGGAAAATGCTGCTCAGGCCACTGGGGGTGGATGCGGTGGAAGACGAGGAGGTCCCGTCGATAGTTGAGATTTTGCCTCGCCCTAGGAGAGAATTGACCGACTTTAGTAGTCGTGCCGGGGCAGAGCCGGAGCTTGTCCCTTCTGTTATGAGGGAAGAAGACATTACAGAGTTGAAAACAAGGTGGGGGATCCCCGGTTATGTCGACATGCGACCGGAGGCAAGAGACGACATAGTTCACTTTGACCGTCCTGGGTACTGCGTATTTTATGTCTACCCCTTCCTTATTGGATGCACACTTCCTCTCCCTCTCCTGGTGGTAGACTTCTGTCGTTTCTATGAGGTATGTCCCATCCAACTTTCACCGTACCTGTACAAGCTGTTCCTTATGTTGCTCAAGTTTGCGGAACTCGTCGGTCGTGAGGTCACCTTGGATCACATACTCAGTATCTTCGCCCCTCCTCTCATCCACGACACAATGCTTCACATAAGTCCTCGGGGGTCGAAGAATTTGGTGGTGAAAATGGACGACAGGACTAACCGTCATTTTTATGAGAATTATTTCTATGTGCAGACTGAACACATTGTGGCAGATCCGATGGAGTTCCTTAAGAAATGGAACTTTGCACGTAAGTCTCATGCTTTTAGTCGGGGATATATCCGACCATTTTCCGTTACAGTACTAAACCCTATTATGTCTTTGCAGCTGTGAAATTGCCTCCTCTTCCTGTTGAAAGTATCCGTGAGTGGGTGAGCACTGTTCTCCCTCATACAGCGGGGGTCCACACGTGGGCGGCCTTTTATGACAAGTATGGGTGCACGCCTCTTTCTGGTAAGATGTTGTTTCTGTTCGCCATTTTTCTCTTTTCCCTCTTTGTATTTAATTCCTCACGTGTTGTTCGTCGGTGTCAGGGAAGGTACGGAGAGTGAGGGCTCCTCCGTTAGCTTTCCGGCAGCCAACCTCATCTACTCACCCTGTCACGGTACCCACCGCCCGACCTTCGTTGAGGGCTACTTCAGTTGAGTCTGCGGCCGTAGTTACTCCTGCGAGGGCTGCTTCTTAGACCAAAGTTCCGACCTGTGTCGTTCGTCCGACGGGTGAATCTCTGCCTACTAGGGAAGAAGAGGGGCCATCAAAAAGACGGCGAGTGGAGTTCGAGACAGCGCCCCAACAGTGATTCATCTAGACGACTCT